GACCCTCCCCCCTCCCATGTTCCCTCTCTCAAATAAATGAATAAAATCTTTAAAAAAAAAGATTTTATTCATTTATTTGAGAGAGAGAGAGAGAGAGAGAGAGACAGCAGGAGTGGGGGGAGGGGCAGAGGGACAAACAGACTCCCCACTGAGCACGGAGCCCTGGAGCCTGGGGCAGGGCTCCATCCCAGGACCTTGAGATCATGACCTGAGCCAAAGTCAGAGGCCTAACTAACCGACTGACCCACCCAGGTGCCCCTCTTTTGCAGTTTTAATTGAAGTTTGATTTGTTTTGAATGTATTAGTTCATAACCCTGATATGTTATTTTCCCATTTTTAATCAAATAAGACAAAGTAGAGTTTATGATTTTTGGACAAAGTGATTATTTTAACTCTCTATTCATAATATGTGAATGGGAAAAGTGGAATCATATATGAAAACCGAATTTCCACTGAAAATCAAGGAGGCCAAATCATTAAAGAAAGTTAGGAAGTTATGCAGTAGCTTTTGAAGAGATGCCAGAAATACATAAAGATAATCTACTTTTAAGATAGGTTGTTTTACAGCAAGTAGTTTCAATTTAAGGTGTATTTTACCCATAAATATTCCACTGGGGTTCTTGTATATATTAGGAAGACATTTTCAATCATACTATATCAACTGACCTCCAATATTTATCTTGTTTCATATTGTTGGTCTTACATAACATCCTTGATTAATTTTCAGGCCTTGGGGGCTATACTTTGAATTAGGAATACAGCCCACTAAATTAATAAATTATTACTGTGCAGGCACTCTTGTCTTCTGAATGTATAAGTGCATTGCTTAAATTACTCTCAGGGAATAATTTACACATGAAGAGGCTCTGGTGGTTAAAAAAGCTTTGTGTATTTCTTATCACTGGAAATAGTCCTAGACTAGGTGCTTAAATGGATATCAAAGCAATTGTTTTTTCAAAGCAGTAATGATTTGTACTATTCTGGGGTTCCCAATACACTATCCTAGAATCATGAATTAAATATAATGTTAAAAATGTAACATTTTGAACCAAAAATTTCCATAAGAAACAGGGAGACTGTCTCAACTGAGAAAATATGCTCATGATCTTGAAAAGGCTTAGTAAGCTTTCTTTCATTGTGAATTTGTTTCTTAAAAGAGCTGCAATAAGGTGAACATAGAAAATACTTCAGATCAAGGAAAAGGAAATTAGGACTTGGCTGTTGTAAAAAAGATATCAACACCCCTCCCACCTTATCTGAGCTTTAACCGGTGGAATTGAAGGCAATGAGTAAAAGGTGAAAGATTTATGTGATCTGAAGTATTGAAGACAGTGAATCCCGGCTTTTAATCTTGTGCTACTGTTTTTCTTGTCCTTGGGATGTTCATGACAAATCTGTATGCTGCTTGCTTATGTGTGACACAGATCTCTATCCCAAATTTAGGTAATAAGAAATTATATATATATATATATATAAAAGCATTTGGTGAAACTTCTCCCCTGGGTCATAAACTATTACAACAGGAACCCTCTCATTCTTACTTTCTTACAGCCTAACTCTGTGCCTGGCACATGGAAGGGGCAAAATATGGTTTTGTTGAATGAACACATGAATAAAGTACACAGAAAAAAGTGCACTATTATAAAAAAAAAATCCTTAATTATTCCGAGTCTAATATTTGTCAGATGTCTGGTTAGTGTCTGTCCCATTATCTGGTTTCTTTTTCATACATCTTTTTCCCTTTCCCCCCAAATCCACACAGAAAAGGATGAACAATGGTTAATTTTTATTGATTTGATTACTTGAGCTTATGCATGAATAATCTATCACAACAAATAACTAGATAAAATCCTACTAAGAAGCAACAACTGCTCCTTAACTCCCTAATTACTCTTTAAAGGACTTCTTTATGTTGTGCCAGAAACATCCAAACTGGCCTCAAACTCCACACTAAACAAAACTACTGTAAATAAAAGCGCTCAAGCCAAAATAATGGTTGAAGAGCTACGTTGATGGGGGTGGTGCTGATCAGGAATTAAGATCTGTCCCAGACACTCTCCTTTTTTATTCTTCGTCACGCATTTTATCTGAAATGATGATGTCAATTGCTTTTCTTTTCTGCTCCTCAAAACTAACCCCATAGTGTTTCATATTGTGCTATATACTACAGTATGAACTTCAGTAAAATAGTTGCTTTTGGAAGGTTTTATCCCTAAACATTTCCATTAAAAAAAATTTTTTTTTTGGGAATATTTAGTACTGAAGAAGCTTGCCTTAAAATTTATTTGCAAAATATTTTCTATAATTGTACTGTTAAGTATTCAAAAGCTTTCTCACAATTTGTACCTCACTTGAAGTGCAAAGATCTCCAGGTATAATGGACAAAATTAATCTTCTGTTATTCCTGTTCTGCCTTTAATTAATAGCCAGCATGTTAGAATAGGTTATAAACAATACATTGAAAGACTGGCATAAATTCCTTTGCCCAAAAATTGAATCTGGAATATTCAGGGTTGTGTTTTCTTTCTTTTTCTCCTCCTCCTGGTCTTTTTGTTGTAAAGAGGTCACGTAAGGACGTTGGTGGAAGGCTCCATGCGCCATCTACTGACCAAATCTATGTTTTCAGCGCCTAGAGAATGAAATTTACCCCTACATTGGGTTTTTAAAGGAGTCTTTGAGAAAGGAGGGGTAATGGGAAAAGACCCTCTCTGACGCTAAGGCTTATTGGTGACTCCTCGAATAAACTTTAATCCAACAAACACATAATTCAAAAAAGAGATATCAGTCCCTCAGCGCAGGGACAGGTTACAGAGAGAATTGGAAGAAGTTAGCCCAACTCTACAGTCAACTCAAAACTTTGCAATCAGATTGTTGTTTTTCACCTGTGTGTTGAGCAGCACTCACTGCCCAATGGTTGCTGCCTTATGGGAAATGGCTTTATCCTAATGGCACATCCAGATAACCATCAGTTCCCTATCTTATTATTTTGAAGGAGTTCTAATTATTTTATCAAAAATTGAATAATGCATAGCAAGGAGGTCCACCCTTCACATGGATCCCAACACACAGCTTGTCTATGTCTATGTAAACTTAGTCCTGATAGACACACACACACACACACACCTACTTGTACAGATATGCAAGATGATACGCATCTATGTACGTGTAGGTCAGTTGAGAAATCTAAGCCCTTGGATTTGGATTAAAATGTTTCTCCCCTCAGTGGTTCCCTTCACTCTATGCTATTAAATCCAACAGAAGGGTGGGAGGAATTGGGGTCCTCAAGCCAAAGAAGTTTTCCAGGTTGTAACTGGGGAGAGGTCGGAGTGTCAGTTTTAGTAGTTCAAACCACTCGAGTTGGAGGGATGGATTGGAAATTAAAGTTGGCCCAAAGTGCTCTGATCTGATTCGGGTTCTCTTTCTGTGAGCAGCTGGGAGAACTGAAAACCAGCCAGGACTCCGGATGCCCCAGGTAACCTCCTTTCCCCATATTGCTCTCTTTAATCCAAGAGCTGAGACAACTTGCTTTCGTGGTTTTAAGAAAGAAAAGAAGAAAGCCAGAAAGTTGAGCCAGAAAGAGGAGAAGAGGCAAATAAAGAGGGAAGGCAGGGAGAAGAGAATGAAGCCGAAGGAAAATTCAGAAAGAAGTTGGGAGGCGAGGGAAAAAGGGGAGGAAAGAAAACACAGACGGGCAAAAAAGGAATGAGGGCTAGGAAGATGCAAGGATCTTTCTTTAACGAACTGGAGTCACACCCATCTTTCACTTTCAAATCAATCGTCTAGATCTTATCCGTTTCCTTTGTGAAGGTTGTCCGCATTGCTAAAGGAAGCTAGTCAGTACTCCTCCCCCTCGCCCCACGCGTGCCTGCGCTGCTGTACCCCGGGCCCCTGAGACCCAATACATCCCGAGTGGGAACCTTTGCAGGAGCGCGACTCTGGGAACACTCTTGCGGCCGGTTGTCACCTGGGAGCCTAACCGGATTAATACCCAGAGTTGGATTACGCTGGCTGTCACCAATACGCCTAAAGATTATAATCCAATTTATGCACATTACAGCCAGTATTAACTTTATCTGCTATTTTAAGACTCCCAGTTGCCCCGCGTGTCCTCAGAGGACAATCCTTCACGTTCTGATGCAACCCACCAGGCTGTCAGGAGGGGAAGCCTCCCGAAGAAAACAACTCCAAGCCGGGTCCCTGAGGGTCTGCACCCGGTACTCGCAGGTGTCCCACCTTCACCTGGGCACCGCTTTGTGTTGTCTCCCAGCCGGGGATTACCAAAGCGGGAGGAGTTCCCTTGGAAGGAAATAGCACTTTTGTTCATTTCATTTTTGAATTTTCGGTGGCGGTGGCAGAAAGGCGGGGAGTGGGGCCGGTGGGCGGGTGCCTTTGAGTAGATGGGAAAGGGGGCCAAGGGGACTGTTGCCGGTTATAACAGTCTCAGCGAGTGCTTTTTGATGTTTGTTTGTAGAGTGGCACTGCTCTCGTTCTGTCCCTAAATAAGTTTGTTTGGGCGTTGAGTTCTTTCCTTTTCAGCACAAAACCACAAAAAGACGGGGTGGGAAGTAAAAGAAAGCCCCCTCTCCCCCCTCCTCCCCCGAGCGTGCTAACGCCGAAGACTTGATTTAACACCCCTTCTCCGGCTGCTGGGGGCTCTAGGCAGTGGCTACATTCCAGCAGTTTTAATCCGTTTTTTATTGTAGGGCGAGAGGAGTTTACACAGGGGCCGGGATGGCTCCCCAGCTGGCCGCTCTCCCCACTCTAGCGCCCCTTCCCCGCCCTCTGCTCCACCTCCCCCCTCCTCCCCAGTAGGAACCTGTTACTTTAAGCAGGGCGTTCCAGTGTGGCGGTGCGGGCCGCCGGGGTTTCGGGAGGTGGCCGGTGATTGGCTCCTTCGAGCTCCCCCTGGCTTGCTCGCTCGGCCTCCCCGCGCGCTCCGCCCCGCCCGCGCGCCCTCCCTCCGCCCCGTAAGGCTCGGAGCCCCGGTGTCAGGCGCCACGGCGCATGCTCCGGAATCTCATCCTCTGGCCCTGGAGCTGCTGCTGCTGCTGCTGCTGCTTTTGCTTTTGGGGCTGAGTTTAATAAGCGAGCGAGCGAGCGAGCAAGCGAACGCGGGGGGAAAAAGGCAGAGAATGTCCGCCATCTACCCTCCGCTCCTGGGCGCGCTCTCATTCATAGCAGCCTCTTCATGAATTACAGCTGAGGGGGGCGGGGGAGGGGGGTACCACACAACACCCCAGCAAACCTCCGGGCCCCCAGGCATGGCTAGCTCGGTAAGTACATGCAAAAATAATAATAAAAGACCCCCCCTCCCCGCCTTTCCTCCCTCGCCCTGCGCCGCCGCCGCCGCCGCCGCCGCAGCCCAGACAGCGCCAGCGCTCCGCGGTTCCAATTAGAGAAAGGTTGGTACGGCTTGCAGGGAGCTGCTGCCTCTCCCTCAGCCTCCGCTCCCCTCCCTCCCTCCACCCCCCCCCCCGGCGCGCGCACATACACACACACACACACACACACTCACACACTCGCCCCTCCACCCCCCCCCCGCGCCTCCCTCTCTCTTCGCCTCTCTTTGCAATCGCAAGAAGCGCACTCGCTCACACGCGCGCACTCACACACACACTCACACGGTGGAAGGAGGCGAATAATAACTCAGCCATATTTCAGCCGCCGCCGCCGCCGGGAGCCGCGGGCACAGTCCGGGGACGCGGCGAGCAGCTTCGGCGGCCGCTACGATGGTGCGTTCTCCGCGGCGCGCGTGTGTGAGCCGGAGTGTGCGGGCTGACAGCGGCGGGGCCGCACGCAACTTTGCCCCCGCGGCGGGCTGAGCGCAGTCGAGCCTCGGCGGCTGTCCGCCCGCCGCCCTGCCTTTCTGATTTTTATTTTTGGGGGGAGGTGGGAGCTACTTTGGGGCCACTTTGGCTCTTGGAAGTGTGTTTCGGGGGCTCTGCGAGGCTGGCCTCGCCGATCGCGTGGGGCTTTTCGCTGGGGGTGCGGGGTGCCTTAAGTTATGGATGCCTCGGCGTGTTTTCCTGCGGGCGTGTGTGTGTGTGTGACGACGTCTCATTTTTGTTGTGCACGAACCCAGTGCTAAGAGCACGGGAGTTTGTGCCCATCAGCAGAGGCTGCCTGTAGTTTCATTCCGCCTGGCACAGCGCTCCACACGCACGCACACACACACGTACACAAAGACTTCCTCGGCGTGTGCCTGTCGCCGCGGTACTTTCAGGGAGGGGGCTCACCAGAATCCCCCCTCGGGGTCCCGGCTACCTCCCTTCCCACGCCGGGAAACCGCCCCGGCATCGCCTCCTAATTGTCTTCTAATTTGTTTCCGATGCATTTGTTGTCGGGCTTGTAGTGGCTGAGTGTGCTCTCCCACTTCCCCCCCACCCCCCGACCCGCGGACCCCCTTCCCGACTGGGGCAACATTCCGTTACAATCCCCGCCGGTGTGGATGCGGGGCGCCGGGAGCCGGGCGGGCCGGGTGGGGTGTGTTTGGGGGTGTGGGGTGTGCGCGCCCACGCGCGTGAAACGTGGATGCAGAGGGCACCGCCGTTTCCTTTTATGTGCGTTTCAAGAAGGAGGAAAAAAAATGTCAGGCGCAATGTTCAGTGTCGAACGGTCGCCTTCCTGTTGTTCACGGCTGTCTCTCCTCCCCCTGCCCGCAGTGTGCCGTGCAGGTGAAGCTGGAGCTGGGGCACCGCGCCCAGGTGAGGAAAAAACCCACCGTGGAGGGCTTCACCCACGACTGGATGGTGTTCGTGCGCGGCCCGGAGCATAGTAACATACAGCACTTTGTGGAGAAAGTCGTCTTCCACTTGCACGAAAGCTTTCCTAGGCCAAAAAGAGGTAGGGCTCGAATACAAAAGGAGCTTGATAAAAAATGTCTTTGCTCGCGGAGGAAACAATCGCTTGTCCCGGGCGGTCCCCCTGCCCCTCTCCCCGCCCCCCGCGTCGCGCTCGCCGGCGTCGCCTCGGGACCAGGGTGCGCGGCGCCGCGCTGGCCAGGTCCGGGCTCCCGCCCGCGCGCGCGCCACTTCGGCTTCGGGAAAGTCACCGCCGAGAAAGGACCGTCAGGTGTCGAGTGTTTATTCATCCCAAGCCAGCCCTCACCGGTCCTCTGGGGTTAGCCGCGGGTTCTGTGGGGAAGGTGCAATTAGTTGTTGGATTGGGAGGTGTCGGGGGTGGGGGGTGGGGGGTGGGGGGTGGGGGGTGGGGCTGGAGGGAATAAACAGCTTGCGCCTTTTTTTTTTTCCTAGAGAAATTGAGATTTACCTGTGTTTTAGCAAGGAATGCATGGGATGTAGTTATTGTTTCGTCTTGAGAAGTCGCCTCTCTTTAGGGTCTTCTCTGCCTTCCACTGGGTGCCGGTTGTCACAGATTTTCCTTTCTGTGGGTTAGCCACCCCTACCCGGCACCATCAGCATTTTCTGCTTAGTCGGGGCGAGGGGGGGGGGGGCGAAGCGGCTTACTCGTTCCTAGCCCCCGATGGCACTTGATTGCTCCTTCGATTTTTGAGCAGCGTTCCGAAGTCTCTGCCCCATGGGATCTGCGGGGAAGAGGGTCCCTGCAAAGGTCGAAGCTAAGTTTCAGAGGAACGATGTGGTCCTGCCTTCTGCTTCAGTCCTTCCCCACCTTGGTTTTTAGCCTGGAACTCTGGTTTGCATAATCCAGCTCAGCCCCTCTTGCTCCCAAACATTTTCCATAAAGGGCAGGACAGTTTTGAAAAAAAGAAACGGGGTGTTATTTTGGAAGAAATTTAGAGAGGGTTTGAGAAATCCGATTTCTATTCCCTTCAGCCTCCTGAAAGCTACTGTCTGGTTGTTTTAGTTGGATTAGTGGAGGTAACAGTACAAATACAATAAGGTGCTTTGTTTGTGAGCAGGTTTATTTATCTAACTCGACACAATGGTTAGTAGTTATCTTCCATTTGATCCGTAATCTTTATTGGCATCTAGAACTCCTGCAGTTTCTTAGAGTAACATCATAATAAATCCATTCTGCTTAGAGCTACTGGAAATTATTGAGCATTGAGGAGCTGAATAAAGAAAGGAGAAATGCTGTGTGCCTTCGAGGTGGCAGAGGTTTGTGTTGATGCTTAGTTTTGTTTCCAGAGCTCATGTAATGGGTTGTAAGATTGTATGTTTTGCCTTTAGTGGTTTGTTGTATAGCTCTTCTTGAAAACTTGAACAGTTGAATTTGATGGGCTTTGCTGGATGGTTAATAAATTAATCCAGCCTCTAATAGAGGGGTAGGAATATGCATGGCCTCTAGGAAATAACATTTCGATTTTGTTAGCCTTTTAGATCAGAATATAGCCAGAGATCTTTTACTTCATATGTCCTCACCACTGTAATTAGGATGAGGATTGTCAAGTTTCTGTCACTGTGTGAGGGTGGGTGTGATGCTTTTTCCTCTCCCTCTCCTCACCGCAGAGGAGTTTAAACAAAAGAAACTACCTTCTAAGATCCTTGGTATCCACTGTTAGGACTACTTGGCTGCTACTCACTTCGAAATGAAATACATGGAACAAAAAAAGCAATATTTATTGTATTAGGAAAACTAAGTCAGTTGGCAGAAGATGTAGCTCTTAAGATAACTTTGTTTAGGCGCCTTAACAATCAAGCAATTGGCATTATGAAATTAAAGATGACCAACCTCCCCAGATTTCACCACTGTTTCTGTGCTTCAGTGTGTCTGTGGAGATGTTCCCCTGCATTTCCCCTACTTAATGATTTTCTGTCCAGCCCGAGGGAACATGAGGGTGCTGCCCGGCAAAGCCCACACCTGGGAGTTGTTGCTAGGCGTGGTAAGCTGCTTGATAACAACTGATGTCTTAGGCGTCTCTACTGAGAGATGCCTGCTTGCTGGTTGGGCTCTTCAATTTTTTATTTTCAACTGTGGAGTTTCTTTATGTAGTCTATAAGCCATTGTTTTAAAATGTTTATTTTTGGATTTTTATTTGTATGTGTGCTTCCCACGATGTGACAAGTCCTGGGAAAAATGCCAGTTTACATAGCCCAGGAGAGACCTTGTCATACTGTAATTACACATGATTCAGATTGCAAGAGAAGGTTTCTCTGTTCATTGGGAATAGTTAGTTGTAAATTCAAGTAACACCAAACATGCCACTTAATCCTGGGACTTATTTTTGGGCTTATAACATCTTTCAAAATGATAAGAATAAATACAGAATAAGGATGCCAGGCATTGCAGAGTCTACTTCTGTACCTTTTAAGGTGCTGTATTTGCCATTTTATAGATCTGTAAGTGAGAAATTGGAAAATGGGAAAAACTGCAAGAATGGCTTTGTGAAAAACCTGAGTTACAAGATACTTAAAAGAAATGCACATACGCCAAGCTGTAAGTGGCTATTGATAATGACAGGTTAAATCACTTTCACTATATACAGTAGCTGATAAACAGAAGTGGACCTTCGCACTGAGGATGAACTGCTCAGCCACTAAGATGGATGAGTCCTTAGTTTTGTAAATCTTTGGTTTGGAAAAGCAAATTGATTTTCAGGTGGATTTCCTTTATTTCACAGTAATATCATGAGAACTTGTAGAGGAAGAAATTCCAGTATTTTCAACTTGTTGCCTAATGAGAATTACATGTACCATTTCAGAATTGAGCTAATTGGACTTGAATTAATGAGGGCTTACTCTGTCCCGAAGATGGGTTGGAGATTTTCAACTTAAAATTACTAGCACAGAGTCCTAGAAGAGAGATTTTGATGAGATAGTGAAGCCTGGAATATCCATTAGCCGGTACAGAATAGGCAGGTCAGAGTATAATGCATTTTAAAACTATCTACTGCAAAAAAAGACCATATCTTATTTGCTAGTACCAAAGATTATAATAGTCTGATATGACTGAAATGGTCACATTCAAAACATTTCATTTAAAATATTAATGTTTTCATTTTCAGTATGTGGATTTGAGTGAACTTTCTTTCCAATTGCAGCCATTCTTAACTATTGCAGTCTGTTCCACTGACATTTATAATATGAAATCTGTTGCTTATTATTTTATGTAAGCTAATTTGGCCACTGGTATGATTTGATAGCTTCTTATTTGTAGCCCTAGTCCTTTGAGTGGGCAGATAAAGCATAATAAATCCACACTTAGAACTTTCCTTTGATTTAAATGGTTGAGCTCAGCGTTACTGCGTAGTTCTGATTTGTGTTAAGGAGTCTTCTGGAATAATTTGGGTAACTTTTTATCAGGGTACCTAAAATTGGAGACCAAAGTAGTTGAAGATACTGCGTGCACCTGGTGTGTTTTCCCTTCTGAGGTATTTAAAAGGTTTCAGGAAAAAATAAAGATGGGTAACTATTCTGATACATTCAGTGAGTGTTAGAAGATTTGTGTAGAATTCTGTATGGAATTAAGATGACCACTGACAGCAGTTCTACTACTTGGCATTTTGAAGCAACATACGGCATAATTTTCCAAGGCACTTAAAAGCTGAATTATTGAAGGAAATCTCATATGCTGTTAGTGGGAATGTAAATCGGGCACGGACATTTTGGAGGGCATTTGGCAACATCTATTAAGATTTTAAATGTTTACACCCTTTGACCCAGCAATTTTACTTCCAGGGATTTTCCAACAGATAAAGCTTTACAACTACACAAAGTTACAGCATATTTCTTGTGACTTTTTTAAACAGCAGAAATTTGGAAGCAAGCCATATAGGGGACCCCAGCTGGGTACAGTTAAATGATAATGATCTATTAAAAGGGGGTAAATCTAGGGGCGCCTGGGTGGCTCAGTCGTTAAGCGTCTGCCTTCGGCTCAGGTCATGATCCCAGCGTCCTGGGATCGAGCCCCACATCGAGCCCCACATCAGGCTCCCTGCTCCTCAGGAAGTCTGCTTCTCCCTCTCCCACTCCCCCTGCTTGTGTTCCCTCTCTCGCTGTGTCTCTGTCAAATAAATAAATAAAATCTTCAAAAAAAAAAAAGGGGGTAAATCTATTCGTAGATGCAGGATGATCTGCAGGAGATACTAAGTGAAATAAGGCAAGTCGCTAAATCAGTGTGATCCCATTGAAAAAAATATGCCTATACAGATAAAAAAATGTATGTGTGTATGTGTATAAGTAAATGAATTTTGGATGAGTGGGAACCCAGCTCCTACCAGTAGTTTTCTCTAGTGGGTGCTCATGGTGTTGGCAGTGATAGGAGGTTGTTTTGTAGTGTCTGATTTTTTTTTTTTAGAGTTAATTCTATATATTTAAAACATTCCAGTGAGCACTTATTACTTCTTAAGACTAAAAGACAAAGACTAAAGACCCAATATAGAACTATCTTGGGTAGATATTGTTGCTCAGTGGTGAGGAGTTAGGGTTAGGAATTACAGACTTATATTCAAAAGCTGGCTTGAGAGACTCCTTCTGTGATCTTTTTCTTAAGATTTTATTATTTGAGAGAAAGAGTGTGAAAGAGAGCAGGAGCAGGGGGAGGGAGAAGCAGGCTCTCCGCCAAGCAGGGAGCCTGATGGGGGACTCAATCCCAGAACCCTGAGATCATGACCTGAGCTGAAGGCAGATGCTTAACCAACTGAGCCACCCAGGTGCCCTTCTGCTTGTGTGATCTTGAGCAAGTCCTTTCTGTGTCTGTTTTCTCACTTGTGTTCTCACCTGTGTTCCTGAAATGATGGAAGAATAGGACCATTACCTCATAAATTGAGGATTAAATATGAATCAGCTGTTCTCAAATTTATTGTTCTGAAGACTGCTTTACACTGTTAAAAACTGCGCCCCCTGCTTGTGCTTGCTCTCTGTCAAATAAATTAAAAAAAAAAAAAAGAAAGAAAGAAAAGAAAAATTGACTCCAAAGAGCTT